TCCACCCCGCAAACCCTAACCCGCGCTTATGCTATAGCCTTTGAAATTCGCTTTGCCCACTGGTTGGATTGAACTTGAACTGAACACCGAAGTCCAGATACAATCTATACGTCCGAGCTGTGTGTGACAACTAGCGACGGCTTGGTGAACTTTTCCACTTCGCGACGCAACACTGACCATGTTGCCTATTTATACAATGAGGCGATGTTCAGCGTCAACATTCAATGCAATGAACTTGCAGTGAACACCGCCTCGAGCTGGTATATATAATCTTCAGGCTCGCCAATAATAATGTTTGTCAATTCACACCTTCTCTTATATCATTTCCACAAGATTACTGGGTGAGTCGTATCAAGGTGCAGTAATAGCCCATGAAAAGCGAACAGGGAAATTGGCTCAAGTATCTCTCTATCTTAAACATTTTAGGAATGTTCCGGAAAGCGAGGAATTTTGCAGTGTTCGGCGGCAATTTCACAACAGTGAAGGAAGAAATCCATCTGGGGTCGAATGGTACGCCAACATGTTTCGCAACGTTTGGGCGTATAACGAACAAGAACCTGTACATATTCTGCAGGGCTCCAGATCCTCTCTCATTCTCCCTTTGTGGTTCATGGTGCCATCCACGACTCTGGACAACGATATCCAGCATCGGAATGCCATCCAGGTACAAGAGAGGACGTCCTAGACATCGCTCTGCGTTGGGTGGACCAGCCTCTGGATGAGAGTAGATCAGAGGTATTCTGGTTGTCTGGGCCTGCTGGTGTAGGCAAAACTGCTATAGCGCAGTCTCTTTGTCAACGTCTCCAGGAGCTTGGTCGACTCGGCGGAGATTTCTTCCTTTCGCGCTCGGTAGCTGGACACAGCGACCTTCACACCCTCTTTCCTACTCTTGCCTACCAGCTCGCTCGCGTATATCCTGAATTCGGCCTTGACCTTGAGAACGTCGTCAAGTCCGACGAATCTGTCCTCACGAAGAATATGGAGCTTCAGCTGAAGCAGTTGATCGTGAATCCCTTGAAACGGGCCAGTCGCAACAAATCAGACATCCCTATCGTTCTTGTAATCGATGGTCTTGATGAAGCTGGCGGAGAACGTGATCAGACTCTGTTTTTACAGCTTCTACAGTCTAGTTTTGTTGGCCATCGTCTTCCTTTGAAGATAATCCTAACAAGCCGACCCGAGCCTTGGATCAAAAGTGTTTTCGGCGGTGAACCTTTTGTAGGCGGTACATGGTGCAATTTCCTCCGTCGCACGTCACAAACCGATAACGATATTCGTCAAGTTCTCCAATTCGGCTTCGCAAACATACGGAAAACACATGACTTGATGAAGAGCCGGTTGAATAGGTGGCCATCGTCCGAAGTCATAGATGAAATTGTCGACAGAGCGTCAGGGCAATTCATATACATCTCGACTCTCCTCAGGTATGTCGAGGATCCAAATGGTAATCCAGCAGAAAGGCTACGCTGGATCATCAAAATGCCTTCGGAAGGTTTCATCGATTCTCCTTTTCTTGCGCTCGACAACATTTACAAACACGTTCTTTCGACGTCCTCGAATCTTGACCGTACCCTCACCATACTTGGGGCGATAATCGCCAACTTCACAAGATATCCAAATTTACCAACTCCCAATCTATCTTCTTCGTCTCTACCCACGGCTTTCTTGCAACTCCTCGAGCCAAATTCAAGCCAAAGCTCCTCAAATAGTACTCCATTTGTATACCCCAGAACCAATGAAAGTCTATCCTTTCCCATACACCGAATAGAACGAATACTCAATTTCCGAGTAGCTGATGGCCTTTTGGCGCTTCGAACAATACAATCTCTCGTGGAGGTCCCTTCCAATTTAGAACTCGGTGTCAAATTTTATCACAAGTCTTTCCAAGATTTCCTATTGGATCCCAATCGCTCGGGAGAATATTTTATAGATATAGCACGGATACATTCCAAGTTAATAGTTGGGACATGTAGGCTCCTCAGAGACTTCGGTGAGCCCTTACGAGACATCTTATTAAGCGATAGCTCAGTTGGCGGCTTGATTAACTTAGAACAATCCTATACACCATCAAAACAGAGTCATGAAGATTTAACCAGTATAAAATTTCAATGGGTCCAATGGTGGCTTTGCTCGGCGGCATCTGATCAGGATTGGCTGCTGTCAGAAATCAAGGCCTTTGACAAAACTGCATTCTATCAGAACTATGCAAAGAGAATTGCAGAAAAGATGCTCTTCCGAAGGTTAATCCAAACGTTTTCCACGAGATGCATTGTGATCTGATTTATTCTCCATTATTTTTTATTCAGTGAATATTACCAAGTGTTCGAGTGGTATAAAAGTGATGGTAACATCGCAGAATTGATATGCCGGGTATGGTTTTTTCTTCTATGTTGTCCGCCAGCTAACATTGGATCAGGAAAAGAACAGACCGACAACCTTCGGTCTTTCCTTGCAAAGATTTCTAAGTGTCTTCACAGTTTTTGGTGGGCACCTGGCTTTGGCACATAGTACAGTAATTACTGAAGCAGCAAGAGATGGAAGATAGTCCACATCATTCCACTTTTTTTCATGAGTAAATACTTACTGAGGAGTGGCGTTCGTCATGTGCATACAGATAGTATACTAATATTAAGCATCATTTTTTTTCTGGCAAGAACTTACCATGCGCATAAGCATACAGTGCTATAATCCAGAGCACTAATAACGTCCCCTCCTGGGGCCAAATCGACTACCGCGATGATAACTTCCAGGCCCTCCGCCTCCTCCCCGACCCCAGCCCCCATCGCCCTCTCCACCCTCCCCAGCACCACGACCACCAAAGTCGCGATCTCTCCCAAATTCATCTTTCACCACAGGTGCCCCATACGCATCCTGCTGCTGCTGGGCCATAGACGCATACCCATTCTGCCGCGCGGGCGCATCCGACGCGCCGAAGCCCGGAATGAAGTCCTCTGCGCCTTGCGGGTGGTCCGGCCGCCTCGACGCGCCCTCGCCCGACGGCCCCGCGCCGTCCTCTTCCTTCCCCCACCACGGTGCATTCGGGCCGCCGCCGCCACCACCCGCACCGCCGCCCGCGCCGAACCCAAACCCGAACCCGGGCACCATCGCGTCCTCCTCCTCGTCCTGCCCCGCGGTGTCCACGACCTCCGGCGGCTTCTCGCCCCCGCCGGAGAACACGGACGACGCGTCCCCGGGGCGCTCGCGGCTCCAGAAGCGCGTCGTGTGGTCGTTCGACGCGCTCGCGAGGAGGTGCCCGAACGGGTGGAAGGCGAGCGACCAGACGTTCGAGTCGTGCGCCTGCGAGAGCGTCGCGCGCGGCGTGGAGACGGGCTGGGTGAAGGACGCCTCGTCGGGCGTGGAGAGGTCCCAGTGCAGGATGGCGCCTTCGGAGCCGCCGGAGACGAGGAGCGGGTGGACGGGGTGCCATGCGACGGCTTTGTGGGATGGTTGTGAGTGTCGAAGGGGAAAGAAAAAGGGAGCAAAGATACACACAGCAGACTTCCTTCTTGTGGCCTTTCAGAACACGGAATTCTTTCATTGCCCTGATATCGAACACCCGGACTGTTTGATCGCGAGAGGCACTTGCAACAAGGTTACCGTTTGGTGACCACGACAAGGCTTGAACAGTGTTCTTATGCTGATGTCTATCCAGAACGATAAGCAAACTTTGATACAAATATAATGTATGCACTTACAGTGTTGACAGCACAGTACCCGTTCGAGGATCCCAGAACTTGATTTGATTGTCTTTGCTTCCTGACACCAGCAGGCCTTTTGTCGGATGCCATTCTACGCACTTGACATCCCAGCCATGACCTATAATTTCGTTAAAAATCAGATTTTGTTTTATTTATAACAGACTTACCAGTCAATACGCTCTCCACTCTGCTTTCCGCGAATGACCATATCCGCACGCTCGAGTCATCGCTAGCAGTCGCAAACCGTCGATCGTCTGGGCTAAAGCTCAGGCCCCTAATGGCCTCTCGAGAGGAGGAGCCCTGCCATGCAGTAAGATTGTTCATATTGGGCTCAAAGTATTTGATGATGCCACTCTTGTCTGCTGAGGCGAGGTAGGCACCAGAATGGGTAAATGTCATCGCGCATATCGCGGTATCGTGGGCTTGAAGGATGGTCTCGAAGTTGAATGTAAGGCCGTTCCAGAGGGTGAACTCTCCACTTGTTGACCCAGTAAGTACACGACGGGATTCTGGAGTCCACTATCGCGTTGTTTAACAGTCTGAAATGATGAAGGAGGACCTGACATACCGTTACTACATTGACGGGACACCGAATCTTGTTGGTAGATGTATGAACGAATTTAGTGCATAGAGAAGTGGAGGGATTGTCTGGGTATGCTTTCGGAGGTAGAAGCTAGAACACTCTTCCATTGAGCTCAAGTTCAAATATGAACAGTAAAACACTCACGTCGACGATAAAAGGTGGGCTGGGACGCATATGGGGTACATAGTTAGGGTTCGGTCGCAGTTTTCGCAGCTATTCGACCATTGAGAAGCGTCCAAAGTCAACAGATGCCAGACATACCAGAGCCCAACGGCCCATGCCGCCATTGTAGTCCACCGTCCGCCGAGGTCGCGTCTTCTTGATAATTTTTCCATCTATAACTTGGCGTGCATTCGCTAGCTCCTGTTCCAGAACCTTTCCATCATCTTGCGGTGGAGGCTGTGGTTCTGAGAGGTATCGTTTCGGTTTCCATTCAAGGTGCGTAGACGAAGAAGGCCGTGGAATGACATTTCCCGGTAGTAGGAGTGGTAAGCTAGTCATTTCGAGAGCTCTGTTGCAGATTAAGGAGTCCCAAGGCTATTGTTGCATATATGGCTTGTGAGTGTGGCAGAATTCCGACGCGCTGAGATGGGCAAGAGCAAGACTGACGCAGAGATGGCTTTCATGCACATCGCACGGCTGGTACGGCGGTAAAGTCGGGCCGGGTCAGCCATTCACCAAGCCCTGCATTACAATTGTTCAACCGCTGAATAACCATCGGTTCAATGGTCTAGTGGTTATGATTTCTGTCTCACATTGAACTACAACTTATGCGCGCACAGAAGGTCTCCAGTTCGATCCTGGATTGAACCATTTTGCATCCACCGGTTGAAATGCTTTTTACCACTCGGGCCTCGGGAGTCGGCGCATTCGGACGATTACTGCCTCCGAGCTTGCTGCGAGTTGCTGCGAGCGCTTCTTCATCACTCCGATGACGATGATCTCTATTTCAAACTATACCAGGCCACCTGGTCTTTTCACTGCCACAGGTCGCTGAAGTTCAAACAACGACCCCACCCAGGCTGATATCTTCTCAGAGTCATACGTCCTGGAAGATGTCGCTGACATCGCAGATCAACCCTTCAGATATCCAAGCAACGCAGAGCAATGCCGCAATACCCCAGAAAACCCGTGCTACACCGAAAGATACACTGACACTGGACGTCGACCACCCCAGTCCATCCATAAGTACGCGCTGCTGCCTCGATCGTCTCTTTCCTAGGCATACAGCTCTAATGATCCCCCTAGATTATGCTCAATATGTATCGGAAGGCGAGGGGCTTGATTCCATCGCAAGCGTCAGCCCAGATGGACGCATCTCTATCCACCTCGACCTCAAGAATGATGCACCAGACATGCGCAAAGACCACGCCCACGACGTCGAGGAATTTGCGGTGGACAAGACGGCGTGGAAGACCTGCCCGAACATGAATATTCTGATCATGATTGTCGGAAGCCGAGGTACGTCTATCACGGACGCGTTATGGGTCCTAGGCTAACTGACGTCTGTGGTAGGTGATGTACAGCCCTATGTGGCCCTTGGGAAACGATTTCTGGAAGACGGACATCGCGTACGCATCGCAACGCACGAAACGTTCCGGCAATTCGTGACCGACGCAGGCCTCGAATTCTTCAGCATCGGTGGAAATCCCCAGGACTTGATGAGCTACATGGTCAAAAGTATGCTCCCAAAAACCTACGAACAAACGCAGACATATATTGACCACAAAGCAATCACTAGATCCTGGCCTGATGCCTGGACTCGCCTCCCTCACAAACGGCGACATCCTCAGGAAGCGCAAGATGCTGACAGAGATGATCGACGGGTGCTGGCATTCGTGCCATTCCCCGTGCCCTATCACTGGTCGCGCCTTCGCAGCGGACGCCATTATCTCAAATCCACCGGCATTTGCACATGTACATTGCGCAGAAGCCTTAGGGATACCCCTTCTTCTCAGTTTCAGTGCGTACATAACAACTTCCTTACTCATCCGCTAATCAAGCTCTAGCCATGCCTTGGTCAGACCTCTCAGTATTCGGACATTCGAGATGAGCTACTTAAATCTAAAGCAACACACAGGTCGGCGACGGTGGCATTCGCGCATCCATTAGTCAACATCGCCACTTCAAACGCAGGATACCGCATGAGCAACTACCTCAGCTACGCCTCCGCCGATCTCCTGACATGGCAAGGGTGCGCAGACCGAATTTCATCTTGCAAGCGCTCAACGGGTAGTAGTAGTAACACGGCCCATGCAGGATTGGGGACATCATCAATACCTTCCGCACTACGAAGTTAGGCCTAAAGCCGTTGAGCATCGGCACGGGTCCGGGGTACGTGGACCGCCTCAAGATTCCGTGGACGTACTGTATGAGTCCTGCGCTTGTGCCGAAGCCGGGTGATTGGAAAAATCATATCGGTAAGTGCACGCTTTTTATATTCCTCTGAGGTATATCTCAATTTTAATCATGCTCTCTCAAGATGTTGTTGGCTTCTACTTTCTCGACCTCGCCACGTCATACCAGCCTCCGCCTGACCTTGTTACTTTCTTGGAGGCTGGACCGCCTCCGGTTTATATCGGGTATATACGTTCATCTATATCGTTTGATCGTAAAATATGAACGAGAGCCATAGATTTGGATCCGTCGTAGTGGATGACCCCGCTGCAATGTCAAGTAAATCCTCCTCGCTGTCAATTTCCCCAGAGACCTAATTAAGTTGAATTTGGAATCGTCCAGAGATCATCTTCGACGCAACAGAACAAGCCGGCGTCAGAGCATTGGTTTCTGCGGGATGGGTGCGTGCCTACTACATACGTCACCCGGCCTCTATTTCATATATGTACATTTTAGGGTGGACTGGGAGGCACCGCCGTTCCGTCGCACATTTTCATGCTCGGCAATATCCCACACGACTGGCTCTTCGCCAACGAGCGCGTCGCCGCGGTCGTCCACCACGGCGGCGCAGGCACGACGGCGATAGGGCTGGCCAAGGGCCGTCCGACTGTCGTTGTGCCTTTCTTTGGTGATCAAGCGTTCTGGGGTGTGTTATTTCTGTTTTCTGTTTTCTGTTTTTGTTTTATAGTTTGCACTTATCTGATTTTCTGTGACGTTTTTAGGTAACATGATCCACAAAGCAGGCGCTGGCCCAAAGCCGATTCATCATAAACAGTTGACGGTGGAGAAATTGAAAGACGCTCTGAAGTTCGCTGTTAGCCCGGAAGCCAAGGCATCCGCTTCAAATCTAGCACTCAAGATACACGAAGAGGTGAACTTATATCAATATATGCATCATTATCAAGATCTGTTGGCTGATGTCTTTGCGTCAGGACGGTGTTAACAAAGGCGTGGAAGCGTTCTACAAACATCTGCCGCTGCTTAATATGAGATGCGACTTGGATCCGTCGCGGTTGGCCGTTTGGTGGTCTACAACACATGTCTGTCTTTTTGATCTTTTTTTCCCAGCCCACACAAAATTTAATCTTTCGCCAGTGCCTCAAACTCAGCGCTTTCGCTGCCCAAACCCTAGCTGACGCGGAATTGCTATCTATGCGATCACTGACACTCCATCGTACGTTCATTCTTCTTTGTCTTATTCCATCAGAATATTTTTTTTGAATATGATACGCCACATCAGGACCTAAGGAATACAGCCCACAAAAGAAAACGACGGAGTTCACAAACGGCGGAGGCGCTCAGGCGCTCTTTTGGTCACTGACACACGAAACGAAACTTGCTGGGACTATATCGTGCGTATATACCGTATATACATACATGGGAGGTTGAATATCTACGGTTGTTTGTAGGTCAACTATCGCCAAAGCAGACAATGCTTTTCATTCTTCGCTTGGTAATTTTCTCTTCTGCTTTCTCGTTGGCGCTAGATGATAAGTTAATGGAAACTTTTTAGGTATTAGGGATGCTGTGGTGGCATTACATGACGGCCTGAGAAGTCGCTCGAATAAAGACAAAAAACCGGAAGGGCCGCCCAAGATCAAGTCTGATGCAAAGAGCAAATCGAAGCAGAAAAATACGGTAACGTTTACAACAATTTTCTTTTCTGCGAAAATTTAATATCTTCTCGAAGGACAATTCCACTCCTCCACTCAAATCACCTAAATCCAGTACGTTACCAGGCGGAAGCAAACCTGTATGCATGACTGGCTCAATTGAAGCTCTCAAAACTGACAGTTTTTCTTTAGGGCTTGGTAGAAACACTTAAACAACGTAAGCACATACATCAACAGGAGATCTAACCTTGATCTGACCGTGCTACAGTCGTACATGGCAAAAAAACCACAGAACTCGGCAGGTTGACAATATCCGTCCAAGGATCATGGGCGATGCTCAATTCATCTTCCGGCCAAACGAAATACGACCGCCAGCGCCTGACGCGCATCGCCGAAGGGCGTCAGGCCGTCCAGCTCAGTGCAGAGGCTGAACGTGCCCACATCATCGACCGCTTTCACGCAGAGCACGCCGAAACGCCTTTGCGACAGCAGCTGTACCGCAGTGCAGTCGCAGCGGCAGGTTCTGGAAGCACGTCTGTTGATGGTGAGGGCGATAACAACGAGGGAAAGAGCTTGACTCTGGGAAGCTCTAAGAGCACGGTTCACTTGATATCTGAAGAGCCAGAATCTATGGATACGCTCAATAGCCCACGGCGTTCAGTCTCTGGTCAGGTGCTGGAAACCACGTCGCAGAGGGCGGATGGAGAGGACGAAACTTCCATATTCATTCGCGAAATGGAATTAGCAATACAACTATCGCTGGAAGATCATGAACGCGGGCAAAAACGCTTATCTACGCCTTGTTTGCCATTTTTACACCCTCGCCCCTAGTCTCTACCCCTCGCTTCCTCGCTCCTACGTCTTGACTGCCATTTTGAACTCTCTGTCTATGACTTATATTAATTTACGGCCCTTATTAGATCGGACATTCTTGACTACTTATGATACCCAGAATGATATTGTACAAATGAAGCATTATATGATAACCCAGAATAGTACAACTACAATATAAAGTATCTATATATCCACGTCGACGTCCATGGGAGTAGGAGTGGAGGTCGCCTCCGTCGGCGAAGCGCTCTCAGCAATAGCAGCCGCGGCAGTTTTGCCCCTTCCACGGCCTCTTCCCCTCCCCCTTCCCCGCCCTCTTTTGACGACCGGCGTCGCCGGAACTTCTGCAGCGACTTCCTCGCCATCGCCTGCGGTCGTTGGTGCGGGGGTTGGCGGCGCAGACGCTGTCGTGGACGCAGCGGTAGAGGCTCCGCGCCCTCGTCCTCTTCCACGTCCGCGTCCGCGACCTCTGCCTCTTCGTCCGGGGCCACCCCGCCCGCGCGCTGACGGCGTAGGGTTGTCGTGATCATTGTCATTGTCGCCGTCGTAAAACTCGTTTCGTGCCGTGGAACGACCCTGGCGCTTCTCTCCCGCCTGGCCAGTCCCCTTTTCTTCGTCCTTTTCTTCCGCATTCCTGTTCTCGTCTGCGAGAAGGCCTTGCAGGTCGGGAGGGATTTCTTGCATGGCCACACTCGGCGCGCCTTGCAGATACCGGAGTTTGTTTCGTATACTTACGGTGATTCGTTGTAGCGAGGCAGGCGAATTTTGGTTGTCGACTTTTCCTGTCAGCGGTGGATGGAGCTTCCAATGCGAATCGGCGAAGAAGGAATCGTAGACCGTGGCGGGTAGTTCGTCCGGTATTGATGCCCCAACGAGCACGGATGTTTCGTACGTCCAACACCGGCTGACGTTTTTGATGGTATATCCACCGCCTCCAACGACGAGCAACGGAACGTTGTACTTTCGCACGAA